GGCCAGCTCCAGCTTGGCAAATACCTGGTGAATTTGGGGGGGGGGGTGCAACCTGGCAAGGGCAGGGTTTGGGGAGAGGAGGGGAGGGACCTCAGCAGAGTACAATGCCACAGAGTCCACTCTCCAAAGCAGCCATTTCCTCCAGGGGTACTGACCTCTGTAGTCTGGACATAAATTGCAATACAGGGAGATCTCCAGGCCCCACCTGGAGGTTGGCAACCTTTGTAGATGCCCCCGGCCCATTTTTTCCTGAGGCGCCTGCAGTTTGAGTTCCTCTGTTCTTAGCCACAAGGTATAGATAGGGGCTCTGGGGCAAGTGATGCTCTGTCTTCTTGGTGCTTGGGGGGGGGGTCAACAGTGGGAGGGCTTCTAGTGTCCTGGCCCCACTGGTGGACCTCCTGATGGCACCTGGTATTTCTGGCTACTGTGTGATACAGAGTGTTGGACTGGATGAGCCTTTGGCCTGACCCAACATTGGCATCTCTTATGTTCTTATGTTAACTGGCACCTGAGGAACCAACTTGCAGTTGGAGTTTGTCCAGAATTTCTCTGTTCCACCCCCAGGTCCCGAGGCAAAGCACCAGCCCAGGGCAGGAGCTGGTCCCCAAGCCCACCAGAATCTGCCTCCACCCAGAAAGAGCAACGGAGGCACCAGGCTTGTGCTGAGATAGCCCACCAAAGGCACAGTGCCAGGATGCTGGCCCATGTTCTACCTCCCTCTAAGCCATGGAGTCTTGGGAGCAAAAATTCTACTTTGTGAGCTACTGGCATTAAAATTGTGAGCGAGCGATTTGGCTGCTGCAAAAATTAGCTTGCTCTGGAGCCATGCTTCCTGAGCTAAGACAAAAACGTGTGAGCCGGAGGCTAAAAAACTGTGAGCTAGCTCACACTGACTCAGCTGAGAGGGAACACTGCTCGTGGGCCAGATAAACCTGGACAAGAGGAGTCCCAGGTGCGGCTTCCAGAGCAGGTGGAGTGCCTTCCTTCTCAGCCTATTTAAGCCTCGGTCGAAGCTTCCTGTATCGCGTGGTCCACTAGGTACAAGCTTGTAGCCCTTGCCTCTAGTTCCAGGCCCTGGGTGCATAATGGTCCTCCTAAGCCCTACTGTCTAGGCAATGAGGGATCCACCATTTTAAGTAGGTTAAGAGCATAAGAGAAACCATGTTGGATCAGGCCAATGGCCCATCCAGTCCAACACTCTGTGTCACAGTGGCCAAAACTCAGGTGCCATCAGGAGGTCCACCAGTGGGGCCAGAACTCCAGAAGCCCTCTCACTGTTGTCCCCCCCCCAGCACCAAGAATACAGAGCATCCCTGCCCCAGACAGAGTGTTCCATCTCCCTAATCTTAAGAGGCCTGCCTGGCTCTGTCTGCAAAGTACAGGAAAGACGGGGTTTTCCTCTGTGCTGCTTAGCTGATAGATTAATTTCTGGTGTTCAGTTTCTAAGAGATGGTAGGAAACTGGTAACACTCCAGGTGGGGGTGTAGCTCTCTCAAACTGGCAAGGGTCTATGGCTCAGTGGTAGAGCATCTGCTTGGATTGCAGAAGGTCGCAAGTTCGATTCCAGCAAATTCACTGACAAAGGACCAGGCAGGAGGTGATGTGAAAGAGCTCAGCCTGAGACTCTAGAGAGCTGCTGCCAGTTTGAGTAGACAATACTGGCATTGATGGACCAAGGGTCAGATTCAGAATAAGGCAGTGTCATATGCACTCATGTTCACTGCTTATATGGCTGTAACCATGCCGACCCTTTAAATAGCTGTGTGTTCCCATTAGTCACCACATGGACAGGTGAATATGCTATAGTCAAAATTTTCAGCAGTTGGGCAATAAGGACACCGGAGTGCCATCTGAACCGTAAAACGGCCATTAAATATCTTGTGCAACAAGAAAAAAAATTAGGGTCAACCAAAACGACAGAAGACAGTGAGCAAGCTTGCAGGATCTCCAGAGCTCTTCATCAGGCTGGATGTCCCAAAGGTCCCAGGTCATGCTCTGAAGACCTTGTTAGCGGCCCCTGTAAAACGCCAGGCAGGCGTAACGCGTGCTGATTTAAAATGTTGCTGGTGGGGTTGCATTCCTGGCATTCTGGGAGCAAGCGTGGCATGAGGGGAGCAGCCTTCCTTCAATATTTGTCTGATAGTTTCAGGTGTACTGCTTCTGACTGTGGAGGTACCATTTAGTTGCCGTGACTGACAAGCTTCTACAGATGTATTCCATTACTATACGAGGAGAAAAATACCGCTGTCCCTCGGTAGTGTGTTTCATGGGGGATGAGGGTTGCCAGCTCTCCCTGGCCACTGGCAGGGGATGAGGGGTTCATATTGCCAGGTTGGGAAACTCCTGGAGATTTGGGGATGGAACCAGGAGAGGACAGGGACCTCAGCAGGGTCCAGTGCCATAGAGTCCACCCTCCAGAGTGTCCATTTTCTCCAGGGCAACAGATCTCTGTAGTCTGGGGATGTACTGTGATTCTAGAGGATCCCCAGGTCCCACCTGGAGGCTGGCATCCCTGGGTGGTGAGAGGGTTGTTCCCATACTTGAGATTTCTCTTCGGGTTTCTCTCTTTGGTCAATAGCTGTGACTCTTATAAAGTCAGCCTGCCAGCACTGTCTCTGCAGGGTGCTGCCGTGAGAGAAAAACATGCCCTGTGCAAACATAACCTCCCTGCTTCGCTTCCCGTAAACCAGCATGATTCTTGCACATTTGCCAAGCCAGGAGTCAAGGTTACTCCCCGCTTACACACATCTCTTAAAGGGACAGACAGCACCCCACCCTTGGCAATTTGCTGACAGATAACAACTGATATATTGTCTGTGAAGATATAGATCAGATCAGCTCAGCTGCTGTAGTGTAGCCAATGGGCAGGCACCTGCTGTGGCCACTCTACCTCTCGAGTACTGTTGTGTCCGCTGACCGCCATCAGAGGCCAGTGCACATTCCTGAGCTTGAATCCGGAGTAACAATAGGGACTAGGCTTCTGGTCCCTCCATTGGGGGACCAATGGGACCTTGGAGGGAGATTTAAACCTGCCAATGGGACCCAGGGGTGTGTCCCCTAGTTTGTATATAGTTGGCCAGCCGGCGGGTGTTTGTTACCTTATGTTGTGTTCCAGTAAACCATGCTGATCACTACATCAGTCTCGGGGTTTCATTCATGCGTCTAACCCACTACACTTCAAGTACCCAGTTATGAAACTGGAAAACAGGTCACTAAGGCCTATTGGTCACAGTATCCCTTTGTAATCCTGCACAGCTATTTTAATTTGCAAAAAGTGGGGGTGATTAAAAGAGAGCACGATGCATTATATTTTCTACAACCACCCCACTGGAGATATAAATTTTCTGGAAATGCTGAAATATATTAAATATTTGTTGTTCAGTCGCACAGTTGAGTCCGACTCTTCGTGACCCCATGGACCACATCACATCAGGCCCTTCTGTCCTCCGTTGTCCTCCGGAGTGTGCTTAATTTCATGTTCGTTGCATCGACAACACTGTCCAACCATCTCATCTTTTCCCGTCCCGTTCTTCTTGTACCTTCAATCTTTCCCAGCATCAGGGTCTTCTCCAGTGAGTGCTCCCTTCTCATTTGGTGGTCAAAGTATTTGAGCTTCAGCTTCAGTATCTGGCCTTCCAGGGAACAGTCAGGGTTGATTTCTTTTAGGATATATTTACACACACACACACAAATAGTTGAAGCATATATAAATATATAATATAATATAAATATATAATGTTTGTTGTTGTTGTTCAGTCGCACAGTCGAGTCCGACTCTTCGCGACCCCATGGACCAGATCTGAAGTTTGCTCAATTTCATGTTCGTTGCATCTATGACACTGTCTAACCATCTCATCCTTTGCCGTCCCCGTCTTCTTTGACCTTCAATCTTTATAAATATACATACATCCAAATAATTGAAGCAGCTCTGTACACACAATTCTAGTGTACTCAAGATTCTCATTTGGAAGCATCTGACAGAGAGAAGGGAAATTAATTTTATCATTCAACATTGGGACATAGCTAATGTAAGGGAGCGGTGGCGCAGGCAGTAAAACGCCTGCCTTAACAACACCACTCGAGCAGCCACTATGGCTGTTCGAGAACCACCGCAGTCGGGGTGAGCTCCCGACCCTAGTCCCAGCTCCCGCCCACCCAGCGGCTCGAAAGCAACTAATTAAAAATGCGAGTAGATAAATGGGTACCTACCCTTAGAAGGGTAGGGGGCACCCTCCTCAGGTGAGGTGCGTGGTGAAGACGATGGCAACGAAGATGACGGTGGCGAGACATCGG